TTTTGAGCACAGGTTTTTTAAATTTACTTTTTTTTTTTCTTTTTAGTTACACATAACAGTAGAATGTATGTTGACATATTATACGTACATGGAGAACATCTTCCCATTCTTCTGGTGGTACATGATGTGGGATTACATTGGTCATGTATTCATATATGACCACAGGAAAGCTATGTCTGATTCATTCTACTGTCCTTCCCATTCCCATTCTCTCTCCCTTTCCCCCACCTCCTCCTGTCTAATCTGGTGAACTTCAACTCCCCAACCCATTGTGAATCAGCATCCATATATCAGAGAGGATATTTGGCCTTTGGTTTGTGGGGATTGGCTTATTTTACTTAACATGATGTTCTCTAGCTCCATCCATTTATCAGCAAATGCCATGATTTCATTTCTCTTTATGGCTGAGTAATATTCCATTGTGTATATATATTGTATTTTCTGTATCCATTCATGTGTTGAAGGGCACCTAGGTTGGTGGCATAGTTTAGCTATTGTGAATTGAGCTGCTATAAACATTGATGTGGGGTAGCATCACTGTAGTATGCTAATTTTGAGTCCTTTGGGTATATATCCAGGAGTGGGATAACTGGGTCAAATGGTGGTTTCATTCCAGGTTTTCTGAGAACTCTCCATACTGCTTTCCAGAGAGGTTGCACCAGTTTGCAGTCCCACCAGCAATGTATAATTGTACCTTTTCCTCCACATCCACGCCAACATTTATTGTTGCTTGTATTCTTGATTATTGCCATTCTGACTAGAGTGAGATGAAATTTCGGTGTAATTTTAACTTGCATTGCTCTAACTACTAGAGTTGTTGAACATTTTCTCATATATTTGTTGACTGATCATATTTCTTCTTCTGTGAAGTTTCAGTTCAGTTCCTCTGCACATATGTTGATTGGATTATTTAAGTGGTTTTTTGTTTGTTTTTTGTTTTGTTGTGTGTGTGTGTGTGTGTGTGTGTGTGTGTGTGTTAAGTTTTTTTGAGTTCTTTGTGTATCCTGGAGATTAATGCTGTAACTGAGGTGCAGGTGGTAAAGATTTATGCCCAGTCTGTAGGTTCTCTTTTCATGATCTTGATTGTTTCCTTTGCTGTGAAGAAGCTTTTTAGTTTGATACCATCCCATTTGTTGATTCTTGATTTTACTTCTTGCATTTTAGGAGTCTTGTTAAGGAAGTAGGTTCCTAAGCCGACAGGATGGAGATTTGGGCCTACTTTTTCTTCTGTTAGGCACAGGGTCTCTGTCTAATGCCTAGGTCCTGATGCACTTTGAGTTCAGTTTTGGAGCACAAGTTTTATCATTTTTTTTTTTTTTTTTTTTTTTTTTTGGAGCAATTTTTTTTTTTTTTTTTTTTTTTTTTTTTTTTTTTTAAGTGGCTTTGGTAGACTTTTGTTTTTAATTTCTTTTGATGCAGTAACATTAGTTGTTAATCTGTATGGCTAGACTTTGGAAGATTCGAGCTGTGTAATTCATCATTCACATGGTCTTAAGGAAAGTTGACTCACTTTTCTGATATTTTTCTTCATCTATATCATAGAATTAATTTCTGTCACTAAGGCTATTGTGAGAATTAAATAGCAAAGGGAAGCAAGAAGTATTTGTTTTTGAAGCTATATCCCTTTTACCTTGTGCCTATTGAAATTTGCAGTTCCTTTCACCTTTCTGTTTGTAAGCTTTTCTTTTTCTCTCAGTTCTTCCTTGGCATTCTTCCCTACCTTCCCTCCCCACTCTTTTTGGCATAAGTCACAGAAGATAAATAGGGTAAAGTTTCATACCATGCCTAGCTCCTCTCTTAACCAATCAAATGCCTTAACACTCTCTCCTCCTTTTCATTGTCAGTCAACATGTATTTAGTAAGTGCTGAGGGTGTGGAGTATTATAAGAGGTAGCTGAAGGTTTAATTCCAATTTGCAGTATCCGAGCCTGTCCTTCCGGTTCACAAATGGAAACCCAATCCTACCTGGAACAAGAAGAACTTTTTTAGTGTTAATCCTGTGTTAATGAATTTGTTAAATTAGTCTTTGCTGACACAGATAAGAAGACACTTTCTTATATATAAGAGATTTTATTGTCTAATCTATATATCACTCTTGTCAAGGGGATACCTGAGAAAGATGCTCTTTGAGTACAGCCAGGGGTATCAGGTTAGGCTGGTGTTTGTCCTGAGTGTGTTTAATTAAGGAAGGACATGTGGCAAGAGCAAGGGTCATATTTTAACTCATGTTTTAAAGGTACAGAGAAAATTTCTTTACTTTCTAGAATTCCTTTCACTATTCATATTTGGAAAGTACTAATAAAATAGTTTATAGTTCTTCTTTTACTAGACTATAATTTTAAATATTTATTAATAGAACGACATGTCAAAATTTTTAAAAGACTTTTTAGGAATACATGAAAATAAGATGACCTTTGAATTACCTAAGGAGGCAAAAGAATGAGAATCATGGATTGGACCATTAAAAATGAAGCTAGTGTTGAGACTGGGCATTATATACAATAATAACCTACAGATTTGCCTGTGACTTGGCTTTAAGCCTTCTAATGGTCTATCAAAAAAGAAAATTCATTTTGCAACCTATTTCATAATAAAATAAAAAGAAAACTTTTGCTAAGAAGCAAAAACTGTTTCTTATTGCAAAAATCTGATAGGAATTTTTTAAAGCAGTCCACATGAGAAGGACCCTGTGTGATCTAAGATCACTCTCAACCACAGCTTACAGGAAAAGCAAAGGTGACTTCCTTAGAGCTATTTCCTCTAATACCTGTCAGTATAAGCTTATGTATCTCACCAGGCACTGTTTATAAGAGGAATAATTCTGTGGAGCAGGTAAGGCCCAAATGCTTTGATTCAGATAACCCAGTTCTCTCCTGATTTGACGTGGTCCCAACACATATTTTATTTAGAAAATCTGGAAAATGGATTATATGTCCTTCAGAAAGTTTGTTGTTTTGTTTTGAGATACTGGTGATTGAACTCAGGGTCTCATGCATGCATGATTTATCTTTGAAAGTGAACTACTTGCCAAATATATACTAAGAAAACCAAAGAAGGAACTTGTTGAATAGGACTCTTTTATAAACCAGTTAAAAATGGATGGGCAGGGGCTGGGGCTGTGCCTAAGTGGTAGAGTGCTTGCCTAGCATACATGAGGAGCTGGGTTTGTTCCGATCCTCAGCACCACATGAAAAAATAAACAAATAAAATAAAGGTATTGTGTTCATTTACAAAGAATTGACCAATTGCATATTGTTATTGAATAGCAAGCCTTATGTCATTGTCAAAAATTTTAAAATGCTTCAGCTTTGTGATACTCATGGCTGTGACTTTTCCTATTATTAATCTGCCTAGAAGTCTGGTATCGGATGCTTACCGACAATTACCTTGTGCTCACTCAATGATGGTGTTGGATGGTAATGAGATTGAAGGCAGACTGTCAGTTGACTGAGTAATAACTAGAAATTAGGAAGTTCAGCTTCTGGCCTTGACTCAGTCAGTGATTTTGATATTTGTCATATCTTTTGAACATTCTGTATCTTAGCCACTCCATCTGTTAAACTGAGTTTGTAATAACTGCCCTGGTCTATCTCACAGGAATGTTGCATGGACAAATTAGATAAGTGTAAAAGTGCCTTGGAGGTAAAGCCACTCTATGAATAAAGATTAGTATGATGTATCTACTGAAAAGTGTGTTGCAGAGGCTAGAATGGTTCATTTCTGCAGGCTTCATGACCAGATAAGGCTTCATAATGGATTCCTGTCAAACCAAGCTCATCTTATCAGTTCATGACTGTATAGTATTTAATGGAAAAAAAAAAATCTCTTTGCAAACATATGTTACCGTGATACAAATGTGCATTAAAAATTTGTCATGTTTAGGGAGATGGGGAGGGGAGAGTTTCTAAATAATGGGTGTAAAATTTCAGCTATATAAGATGAATAAGATCTACACAGCTACTGTACAACAATATGCCCATGGTTAGCAATATTGTGTTGCGTACTTAAGAATCTGTTGAGAGTAGTTCTTACGTTAAATGTTCTTAAGAATCACAATAAAATAAAAATATTTTAAAATCAGTCTTATTTTAATTAGATAAAATCTTTCTACCAGTATGGTGGCACACACCTGTAACCCCAACTACTCAGGAGGCTGAGGAAGGAATATCACAAGTTCCAGGCCAACTTGGACAACTTAGTGAGACCCTGTCTCAAAATAAAAAATAAAAAGGGCTAAGGATGTAGCTAATTGATAAAGCCCCCCTGGATTCCACCAAAATAAAACAAAAACAAAAACTTTCCAAGTGGCTTCAAACAATCCATAATATACAGTTCACATTTCTGTAGTAATTTGGGGGGGGGTATTTTAATTTGTAATAATTTTGGGGAGGTTATTAATTTGTAGAATATGTTGGGGCCCAAAAACATAATTTTGATATGTTTAATAATGTTAATATATATGTATATGATACAGTGTGTAAGCAAGAGAAATTCCCTAGAGTATTTTCTTTTCTCGGGGAATAAATACTACTGTTTTTAAGACTCTGACATTACCAAATTGGATTTTTTTCTTTTATTTTCTAGAAATGGCAAATTCTCATCTCTGCATAATGTAGATGAATAAGATCTACATTATGTTGTTTTTCTAGTTGCTTCATAGTCTGTCCCAGTTAGCATTCTCATTCTCAATCCTAATTGTGATGTAGACAGATTGATTCACTGCAGCTTATTAAAACATCCCTTGGAACCCCTGCAGACAGTAAAAGGAGGGAAGGGTGGCTTTTCTTGAAGGAATCCTTAAGGGCTCTTACTCCACTCCCTTTTTCTGTTTCCATAAATGCACAGAGAGTTCCTATGGAAATTTACAGCACCCCTGTGTTTAGTCATTGAGAAGGAAAATAAGCAAGTATTTGATTGGACATTTCATAAAAGAGGTCCTATCTAGGCTAACTTTAGAAACTTTAATCCTTGAGCCAAGTTGATCTCTTTTCTTCTGGCAGGGGACCATTCCTAGTAGCACTGGGGAAATCTTGGCACCCAGAAGAATTTAACTGCGCTCACTGCAAAAATACGATGGCCTACATTGGATTTGTAGAGGAGAAGGGAGCACTGTATTGTGAGCTCTGCTATGAGAAATTCTTTGCTCCAGAATGTGGTCGATGCCAAAGGAAGATCCTTGGAGTAAGTATTGGAAACTGCTCTTTTATTCTTAGTGAGTTTTAAAGCAAAAAACACAATAGCTGTTTGTTGTAAAACTCTTCCATCGTTTTTGCTTTTTTTATTTTCTTCTTGCTTTATCAACCCTCTTTGATTTCATCACTATGTATTATTGTAAAGCAAAACTAAATAGACCTCTGGAGAAATATATCAGACTCATGGGGTTAGGTTGCCTTTGGTTTTGTCTTACTGAGTGCTGGTTTGTCTGGTGAAAGTCTAGCCACTGTAGGGGAAAAATAATTTACTGTGGGTGTGCTACCTCAACAGGACCCTGTTTGCTCAGGAATGAAGAGGTCACACAGGACCACACACATCAGAGTCCTCAGAACTGACACCTTCACTGTTTTAAATTAAATTCCATAGCTTTTATAAGAGCAGCATTTACCCACTTGTCAGGGTTCATGCACAGGACACTGACCTCGTGAAATATATAAAACATGAGACTTATAATTGAATATATTTTTCTTGAATGCATATAAAGTTTAAAAATGTAACTTCAGTTTTACGAGAGTACATGTGATAGAAAAATAATTTCAAACCATGGGCCTTTTTTTCCTTAAGAAAATAATTTAGGAGTAGCTACATAATGAAGAATGATGAATCAATGAATATCCTATTCTGGAATATCTAGTTTGCAGTTACAAGTAAGTGTCAGGCATTTCTTGAGAGTGACTAGAAGTTGTAATTTGATCTTAGAATAAATTAAGGTACCTGGCCTGATATAGAAGGAAATGGCTTTGTTGATTGGAAATGACTTTACTGAATTCCAACTAATACACTAATATGAAAATGAAACTCTAATTCACAGTGAGAGAAAGTTAGTGTGAATTATGAGTATACCTTGAAATGTGACTAAAACTATTGAAGACACTTTAAATTACAAATATGCTGCATGAAATATTAGTGTTATTAATTTGTAGAATATGTTGGGGCCCAAAGAGTAGAATGATTCAAACTGTACCTTCCCAAATGTTAATAAATAATTAGTAGGATATACATTAATACTGTTTTAGTGTATTAATGTCTTCTGTGGATTCAAGAATAGCTAATAAAACAAAAATGAAGTAAGTCTAATAAAGTTAGCAAAGGAATTAGAAAGAATACATTACCAAATGATTATTCTTCATAAATTATTTTAATGACTTCTTTTTCTCAATCTAAAGAGATAATTCCTTGCAAAACCAACTCCTCCAAACAAGTTTTACTAACTAATCCAGCCTAAATGGTTAGTACTTGGTATATTTAACCATAAAGCTACTGCCAACCAGAATCTAGGCTTTATGGTTCAAATCATAGACACTTGCTTAAGTACATAGCATAGTCATATCTGATTTTCAAAAAGCTGAACACACACTAAACTGATTGGATTATACTGATTACATTATTGCTTCAATAATGCACCAAAGTATAGGGTTTGTTTTAGTTTTTAAATGCTTCCCCCGCCCGGACATCTTTAAGATAAAAACTTTTGTAAATTAACATTTCCTGACACTTTTGAGAGAAAGCAGAACATAACTGTCAAAACACTTTATGAAATGTTCCCCTTAGTCACCATATATACCATATAGTGGTAATAATTCTTTAAATAAGTTCATTGATTTGTGTTTGTGAAAAATACAAATTAAAGTGCATAGGTTTCAATGACGTGTGAGTCTGTCCTTAAGTATCTCCTATTGCTTTAACGGAAAGATGAAGTCTGTGTCTGCTTTGGGTTACCTCGAACTTGTACAGGTACAGCTGTTAGAATAAGCATTAGTGTGTGCTCATTGTGATCTCTCTTTAAATCCAATTACCTTTCTGTAACAGGAAGTTATCAATGCTTTGAAGCAAACTTGGCATGTTTCCTGTTTTGTGTGTGTGGCCTGTGGAAAACCCATTCGTAATAATGTTTTTCACTTGGAGGATGGGGAGCCCTATTGTGAGACTGGTAAGATCAAGAGCCATTAGTTGCTTGAGTTTTGAATAAACCCCTTATATTACTATGAAGTGAAAAGAAAATACTAAGCTAAGTAGTTTTTCTTATTGTTTTTGAGGAATTTAACATTACCCTAAATATATAGCAAAAAATAAACTACTAAAACTTTTTTTGTGACTTTGTCAAAATAGACATTACAGACCTCATTATGAGAATTAAGAATGCAAGCAGTACTAGGGCTTGGGATGTAGCTCAGTGATAAAAGCATTTGCTTGGCATGTGTGGAGCCCCAGGTTTAATTCCTAGCACTACAAAAAATAAAAGAAAAGTAAGCAGTACTTAGTAGGAAGAATGTTTTTTTTTTTAATCTCTAATAATTTATGGATACACATTCTACCAAATCATGTATCCTAAAGCCACTTCTTATAGTATAATAGTGAATTTTAAGTGATTATAAACATGAGAAATGTTTAGCTTTAGAATATGATAAAAATTTTACTGATTTGCTTTTTAAGACAACTGTCTTGGGCTGGGGCTGGGGTTGTGGCTCAGTGGTAGAGTGCTCGCCTAGCACACATGAGGCATTGGGTTCAAACCTCAGCAGCACCACATAAAAATGAAATAAAGATATTATGTCCACCTACAACTAAAAAATAAATACTAAAACAAAAGACAACTGTCTTGCAAATAAACTTGAAATCCTGTGTTACTTTTATTGAGTGGTAGGATAATACCTATTTGGACTGCTCCTTTGCTACAATTGCTTTAAACTAGGCTGTATGGACCTATCTCCTCCATTTGTCTTATTTTCTGATCTCTAAATGCGTTCTTTTCCTTTGCAGTGTCTATAAGTGAACCTTTCTAATACTTATTAATATTGCCCTTGATTAGATATTGCTACCACAGTACATATTAAAAATATGAAATATTTTTCTGATCTCATATCTCCACTCATTGTCATTACATTCCCACTACTGATTTTTTTTTTTTACTTTTTTTTAGTTGTACATGGACACAATATCTTTATTTTATTTTTATTTATTTTTATGTGGTGCTAAAAATTGAACCCAGTGCCTCATACATGTAAGGCAAGCACTATACCACTGAGGTACAATTCCAGCCCCCCACTATTAAGTTTTATTTTTATTTTACCTTAAATCTAAAATGTGTTGCTAGAAGGGAATATTCTAGGGCAGTCAGAATTAATAGCACTCTACCTTCCTTGCCCACTCAATGTTCTCTCTCTCTCTTTTTTTTGTTTTAACCTTTTCTTTGTCTCCTTAATCAAGAACCACTTGGATCATCCATCAGAAAGTCCTAGAAATTCCAATAAACTATCCTGTGGGCAGTTTTGGTATAGGTGGGCTCCAGGCTGCCGACCCTATCCAACAAGAATATTTCACATTTTGTAATTCCACTTAATTTTCTGTTTTTTTATGCTTCTTGTTCAAGTCAGTTGGTATGATTTTTTTAGACACTTTGCAAGACATTCTAACTGAAAGATTGTTCTTCTCTAGTCAAAACATATAACTATCTAACCTTAATGTCATATTTAACATATTCCAAGAAGCAATATTTTAAAAACCCAAAGAATTGCTTATAGAAAGATAAAAATATTATTGAAGATCTATTTAAATGTTCCTTCAATTTGGTCCATTTTTTGTTCTGTCTTTTTCTTTAACCTCTCAAATCAGTTTTTTTAATATTTATTTTTATTTCACTTATTTATTTTTACGTGGTGCTGAGGATCGAACCTAGAGTCTTGCACATGCAAAGCGAGTGTTCTACCACTGAGCCACAACTCCAGCCCCTCAAATCAGTTTTTTACATAGTTCCCCATCCCAATAAATGGCCCCATTGTCCACTATCCAAAAACCTAGAGATGACTTTAGATTCTACCCTTTTCCCTATTCTTCCCACATCCAATCTAGTGAGTAAACCTTGGCAGTTCTCCCTCCACTCCCATCACCCAGCAGGATATTGTACTATTTGTTTCTCTCCATCTCAAGTATCACCACTAAACCCAACTTGTTCTTGCCCTTTGTTCAAAATTGTAATCACTAACTAAAGGGTGTATCTCCTCACCCCCAACCCCCAAATAGCAGCTACAGAGAAACCTCAGTAATGTTTTTAAAAATGTAAATAAGATTGCTTAAAACCCTTTAGTGACTTCCATATAAAATTATAATCCTTGCTACAGCCCGCTTTGCCAACCTCATCTACCACCTTATGTTCTATGTTACTAGATTTGGGCCATACCTGGCCCCTTTGCTATTTCTGAGCATGCTAAGATTCTTCCTGCATCAGAGCTTTTGTACTTATTATTTCTTCTAACTGGAGTGTTCTTGTCCAGGTTTTCTGTGGTGATTCTGCCTCAGTCTTCAAGTCTCTTCGAAACTACTATCTCCACTGAGAAGCCTTTCCTAACTTTCCTATGTAATGTAGTACAACCTCTACACTTATTATTCTGTATCATAACACTATTTTCTTTTCTTGAGGGCACTTATCAATCATGATCTGAAAACACACTGTTATCATTTATCTTTAAAATCCAAAAAATTATGGCATGCTGTTCTCAATGGGAACATAAAAGTCCCATAAGGAGAGCAAGCACATCTGTCTTCTCCACCACTGTACCTCTGCGGTATCTAGAACAATGCCTGGCACACAGTAGGGTGCTGTGGATATGTGTTGAGCATGGTGCCAGAGTATATTAAAGATCACTGAGAAAAGTGAATCAAGCTGCAAGTCTCAGCCTACTGCACCTCCAGCTCAGGTTGGATTGACTAGTGTCAGGGGCCAAAAGGTGAACCATGAGTCAACATAGTGGTGTGAGTCAATGCATAAAAGGAAATAAAAGTGCTGATAACATTCTAATTTGGTAATTGAGAAAGATCTTATCAGAACAGTTTCTTCAGAAAGAAATTCAACTATAACTAATCTGTGCCAGGTAGATAGTGGGTATCAGGCTAAGGTTCTTCTACATGAAGTCATAAAATTGAAAGAAAAATATAATAAAAGAAATTGTGCTCATATTGTGATACAGTCTAGCTAGAAGCTCAGTCATGGTCCTTATTCGTGGAAGTTTTCTATAACTTGTTTTCTTCACCAAGTCAGATACCCTATGAAAATCTGCCAATAGCAGATATTTATTTAGAATTTATGTTAATTAGTCTTACCATTGCTACTTATTAGAGGTCCTCTTGTATTTAAAAAAAAAATTTAGGTGTGAACAGACACAATACCTTTATTTTGTTTATTTATTTATTTTTTATGTGGTGCTCAGGATCAAACCCAGTGCTTCACAGCTACTAGGAAAGCACTCTGCCACTGAGCCACAACCCCAGCCCCTCTTGTATTTTTTTTGAAACAGTCAAGTCTACTGATAATTTCTCAGAATAGTATTTTTTTAACGTATTTGGGCATTTAAGTAGCTAGAGAGGGTTGAGAAGTATAATGTGGAAAAATATAAGAAAGAATGCTACCCTGTTTACCTGTTTACCAAGGGAAACCTGAAACGTGTTAAACATGTATCTCAAGCCAAATATTATGCCATCTTCTGAAATTTTTCTAATTACTAGTATCTTTAACTTCAAGATCTCATTTAACCTCAATTGTGTTGCTGTTTTCTATGAATTATCAATCTAAAGCTTCATCACGTTTAAATTATCTCTCCCCCACCCCAAACAGATTATTATGCCCTTTTTGGTACTATATGCCGTGGATGTGAATTTCCCATAGAAGCTGGTGACATGTTCCTGGAAGCTCTGGGCTATACCTGGCATGACACTTGCTTTGTATGCTCAGTAAGTAAACTCTAAGCTCCTAATTAAAGTGGTACAGTACAGCCAGTTCTAGCATAAGCACTTAAGGGAAATAATAGTTCTTGTATCTTTTAGTCCTTCAAACCTAAAGAAAAAAAATATTTTTTTCAATGATTTTTAAAAGTTGTTTATTAATTAAAATTTGGGGACATCTTGAAATTATTTGGTATACAATAAGCTCTTTACCCTTAAAGAAAATTCTATTTTTAATACATTTTTTCCCATAAGGAGAAGCTATGTATTTCTTAAAACAGTAAGGGTCTGTTATTTTTTTTCTGAAACTTCGTTTTATTGGATGTTTTTGGTAGGTTTTAGAAACATTAGGTACTTCTTAAAATAGAAATAAACAATTTTTAAAATCTATTATTGAATTAACACTGGGAATAAACTATGTGCTGATTCATTTCCTTCCTTAGCAGTCACCCATGAATGTTCTTTTTGAGACTATAATGTTTAATAAAATATTTACTAATTTCATTTGATATTTTAATATTTTTGGTTTTATTTTTAATAATTTGGATAGAGCTCCATCTAAAATACATATTGTTTTTAATTTAGAAAGTAAATGTTCAATAAAGGTGCTCTGTTCCAATGTTTGATTATTTTCTTAGATTTAATATATCTAATAGTGTCTTGATATCCATTGTATTTAGGGGAAAAAAAGTAATGTTGATTAAATTCAGATGATTTCTCCAAACATTGCCTTTGAACTCTTTCTTGTTTACCTCATTCATCTCTTAGACTTCATGAAGTCTATAAAAAGTAACAATTTCTAGAAGATTTATCTTGTGTTCTCTGGTGGAGCTGCTCATGAACATTGTAATTAGCCAAGGCAAGAGGAAAAACAAGAAGGCATAAGTGAGAAAAACTGATGATATAATCAGACATTGGGCAGATATTGACTAGGATTTTCTGATAAATATTAAATGTATTAACTCTTTCATGAATTTGGGCTGAGGATGTAGTTGTATAGTAGAACTTGTATCTAGCAATGTGTGAGTTCTGGGTTCAATCCCCAGTACTGCAAAAGATTTTTTTTTTTAATCATTTCATGAATTGGTGATTTCATTAAAGAATGAAATTAAATGAGTGAATTAAAAAGAAATCTCAATTATATGTCTCTCAATGTGTGTTTTGGGAACAGACTCAAGTTGGACTTGGACATGTTTAGAAAAGCAATTGACTTGTGTTTTCTGTTTGAATGCTTTAGTTCTCTTCAGCAGGAAGCAGATTTAAAGCATTGATTAGAATTAATCTGGGGAGATAAAATATATTTAATGTGACCTCATTACATATTAATTTTTTCATTAGAACTAAGTACTTCCCACCCAATAAAAAAGTAATGATCAGTGATTTAAATAAATTAGAATATATTCCAAGAAAAAAGTCATTCTTCATTGCCTTTCAAAGATTACATGAAATGTCATAGTAATCATGAAATGTCAGGGTTTCTAACACAACCATCTAAAGTACTTTGTCATATTATCCCATTGGGGGAAAAAGTCACTTTCCCCTTCTCTGGCATGCTTGATTAAAATAATGACAGTCTCTTAATTAATACTTCTTTTTCAGGTCTGTTGTGAAAGTTTGGAAGGTCAGACATTTTTCTCCAAAAAGGACAAGCCACTTTGCAAGAAACATGCACATTCTGTGAATTTTTGAAAGTCAACAGTTCAGGGAAAGAGAAGAAATCGAAAAGAAAGAAGAGAATTGAAATTACCAATTAATCTTTAGATTCAATATTTATTTGGAGTTTTGAAAAATAATAGTGTCCCTGAAGGGATAAATTTCAGCATTAAAAATATTTGGCTTCATAAAGTAAAGAGATAGTTTGACATTTGTTATTACTTTTTCCTGTATTTTATGCCCATAAAATAACCTTTATAAAAATCAATTTCCTGGTTGACTATATCTTTGAGTAAATTAGCAAAGAATTAAATTTTAGATTAATAACTCCAATCTCTATGCTGAAATAATTATACTTTTCTTTCCTTGCTAGGTAGTTATGAGTAAACTGTAAAATGCAATGAAAATGCCTAAAAGTTTATTAATAAGAGAATTGTTCTTTTGAAAAATCTACTGTTTATCTTTAAAACAGTGAATGAGAGTTTAAACAGAACTTTTATCAGTAGGAGATGTCAGTTTAAAAAAAAAAAAGTGTACTTTTTGTTGTTTGTTTATTCTTAGACAGTTGATCATTCCAGTCGGAAAAGCCAATGATATTTTGGATCAAAATGTGTCAAGCCTTTCTTCTCTTACCCCCCTCCAAAAAGCTGCCATATCTCTTATAAAATCTCAAATTTTTGCCTTGTATTAAAATGTGACTATTTCTACTCATTGTGTATGCTTCATCACCTGTATTAGCCAAACCCTGCTGTTTCCCTTCCCTCGTAGTGAGATAAAGAACATAGTTTTCTTTAAAGAGAAAACAGAAAAGACTATGGTTAGGAATTATGGCAGCTGAGAGGATCGGACCTAAAAAAGCAAACAAAAAAGCACTACTGCCCCCTTTTCAGAGTTGTACCACTGACTGAAGTTTTGAGAGCTGTCTTTGCAGAAGTTTATGTTTTGTTTTGTTTAATTTTAACTTAGAATTGGCTTGGGATAATAGTAAGCTCTAGATTTTTTTTTCGTAGTTTTCTCTCAATAATAAGCAAACCACTTCAAATGTGATCACAAAAAGTGGAAAGCTTTTATTCACAGAGATTTGGTAGTATAGGAGAGGGAGGTGATTAATTACTCAGATTGACCTATTTGTTTTCCTCATTTGTGCAAAGAATCGTGTAGATACCACATGGAAACATAGAAACAATTGTAAAACTGTGGATCCTGTTGATATTTGCCCAGTGAGAAAACAGATTATGGCATTTGATAGTTTTTCTCTTTGTTTCTAGAATGGATGAAAGCCTATGAACCCACTGAGTTATAATTTAAATCTGTGTGAGGCAAGGTGCTTTTAAAGTCCAGACAGAGTCCCCAAGCCCTTCCTGCCCCATCACTCACTAATGACTTCAATTCCATTGTGTGTATGTTTGTTATAGAGGAGGTTTTAGGCTACACTATTTGTTTAACCTCCCTAAGAACTTTCAAGGCATCTGTCCTGAAAGCTGCTAATACATGGTCTAGCAGATTTATATTATATGCAGATAATAATTAACTGGGGATAAAAGAATAGGAGGGGGTGACACAAAGTGGCAAGCTGAATACTTCCCCAGTAGCAACTCCAAACTACCTCCTCACCCTGCATCTTGTAGGGAAGGGGAAGCTTCTTTTGAGATGAAGTGCTGGAGCTGAATTGTGCATTAGATCTCATTGCTGCTGAAGTTGCCTATGGGCAACTTGCTGGCTAATGTGCATCCTTACATATCTTAATGTCAGTCTTTGCTTTATACAATACAAAGTTGGTTGTTTTGTTTGGTATGATGGAGTATTTTTGTTGTTTAGTTTTGCCTTTATAGATTGAATGCCAAGATAGTATTTTATAAGTGAAAGGCATTGGGTTTTTTTCTTTAAAGAATTTTATTTGACCTGGATTTCTTATAAAGCTGTCTTTCTCTAAGGGTATCATTAGACTTTTCTACATATATTCTTCATGGAGCATAATGTTCATGTCTCCAAATTTTAATGCCTAAAAAGATAGTTTGCTTTCTTTTTTTTTTTTTTTGTGCTCTGTCTCTGGTGTTACAGAGCTTTTTATATGTTCCTAAGACAGTTAATCCTGTGAAATAAATATTGCCCAAAACCCAGAAGAATCTCTGTGTTTTACAGTGGGGAATGCCATGTTTAATTCACCAGCATTAATTTTCTAATAACTGGCTGAGCACTTTATTCTTCTGGTGAGCTTTCTGAATATTTATTTTTCTGATTATAAATATTCTGTGTCAGTAGCATTTTTATTATTACTTCTTCACTGTAGAGCATTGACTTTTCATCTCCCTAGATGTATATTTTGAAATGATATACTTGGTAAAACACAGATGAAAATCATATAGTACATGACTCTAAAAACTCCTCTACTTGAATCTCCCACTTTAAAATTTTAGTAATGGCTTAAGATTCATAATATTTCTCTAAACTTGCAAGGGATAAATATTGCCCACTGAAATAGCAATCTAAAAATGATCCCCTCTGCTTTAGGTTATAGTAACATATGTATTTCCTATTAAGGTTACATTTAGAGTTTTGGTTTTTGTTTGTTTTTCATGTTGTGCTAGGTATCAAACCTAGAGCCTCACACATGCTAAGTCAGCACTCTGCCTCTGAGATACATCCCCAGCTCTTTTTGTTTTTATTCTGAGACAGGATTCTCATTCAGGCTGTCTTAAACTTGAGGTCTTCCTGCCTCGGCCTCCCAAGTAGTTGGGATTACAGGTGTGTACAATATTTAGAGTTTAGAACTAAAACCTATTTATTTGGTCAAGAGTGTTAAAACAAATAGAACTAACAGTTTAAATCTGCAAAATACTAGTGTAGCCTTATGTTTAAAATTATCCACAACAAAAATGTATGATTTTCAAGGAGTAGTATATTAGAAGCACTTTCATAGGAAATAATTTCTTCCTTCCCCTTGTTGAGTGTGAATCCAAAAACATATTGATACTTTGTGGCATTTGGAGTTTAGTCATTGAAGGGAAGAGGAAACATACTGAGTAGTTTTACACAAATCTAACCTGGCTTCAATTTGTCTCCCTCACCCCTAAATGTTGAAAGATGTCTGATTTGAATTCTTTATGTATTAATTATCTATTAATCTCTATCTTCTGTTTCTTTAAGTTTTAAAGTTTGTATATACGTGCTCTTTTGCTTTTGGATACATTTTCTAATTAAAAAATCACATGAGAAATATAATCAGTATAGTAATACTTTAATGTGCACATATTCAATAAATAAATGCCTTCAACGGTATACACAAGTTCTCCTTGTTGTTTTTGCATAGTAAGAGATTCCATTAAGTAATCATGGGGAAAAAAATCATGTTCCATATGCACAGGATAGGATGAAATGTAATAATTACCTTAAGAATAAAAGAGGAATTGGATATTTTGGATATCCAATTTGATTGGATATTTTGCCAATCAAAATATTCCAGAAACAGAACATTTAAAAATAGTGTCACATTTATTCTGTTTTTTATCCATTTTTATAGTTTTCATGTAGAACGTACACAATAAATGTTTGTAAATTTGTAGATAAGTCTGTCTTAAAAAAAATATTTATTACTGGGTTGGGAGTGTGGCTGGGTCACTGGTAGCATGCTTGCCTGGCATGCATAAGATCCTGTGTTTAATCCCAGCACCATAAATAAATTTAAATTTTTTAATGTTTATAGCTGAAATTATTTAATGGAATAACTTAACATATTAAACATTATATTGTTATCATAGATTGTAATCAAACAACATAAATTCTCATCTACATTTTCACATTTTGTATTAGCCAGGGCTCATTACTTCGTGTGTCACATCCAGATCTCGTTAGCTAACTGTACATTAGTAGGCAGGCTCACCTCGTCCTCGTTTGTTTATTGGCTTGAGTAAGATTTTTTTGCCAACTGTATAAAGTTAAGAGGAATGTTTCTGTTGCAAGCTGTGTATTGGAAATAAGAGAGAAATTCAAGTCTATTTGCTCACAGTATATTAAACTCCAGAAGCCAAACTTTTAAGGGCATCAAGTCTGCATCTGACATTTTAATAGCTGCTGTTTGGTTTCTATCAATCACGTCATTGCACATTAAAATGCACCAACAAAATAAGAGATCTGTCATTCCTTCGTTAAGGAACAGTAATCCAGTACAAGATTTATAGGCTTACGACTCAACTGTGTGTTCACAATAAATCCCCATTCAGTGTTCAAACCAGAGCAAGCCTCCCTGTTCAGTGTTTTCTAGTCAAAATGTCCTCAATATAAGATTATCAAAGGTTTTCTTACAGAACTACATATAAAATCTTTTTTGCCAGCAAAAGCTTAATTTAGGTTGGCGGCTTCCCTTTTTGAGTACCTAGACAAGATCTTGGTTATATCAGAAACACATAGGTACTGCTGTATTATTAGCAGGCCTGGTGTTAATTAGGGAGAATTACCAGAAATAGTTTGCCTCGTGGAAATTTATTACAGAATCACACTTGACTGATGGCAGAATAGGAGTTGCTGAGAGAGAGCAGCTCCCACTCATAACCACTAATTAATAGGGTGCCAAAATTCCGCAGAGAAGGTTTCATCCCAAGTGTGGGAGCCTCACAGGAAAAATAGTTCTTGTGCAGTATTTAAAAATTAACAGAGGAAAGTAGCTGGACACATGGGTACCTAACAGAACAGAAGTCTCAGATTGATGGGGTCTTAGGCTGTATGAATGAGAAGATTTAACTCAGCACCAAGTCCAAAAGTTACCTGTGTGTTTGTCATGCTAAGGACATATGCTTATTATGTTTAATGTGAAGCATCTGATTCCCAAACTTCATTTTATGAAGAGAATTTAGAACAATCATTTTATCTGATCTGATAGTACTCTTGATTCCATCACTTAGAAGCCAAGTTGGTGGCAAGATCACATCAATGATTAACAAGAAAGGTGTGGCCTCTGCACCTTGAACATGGAGTTGGGGAAAGTGAGGTGCACTTAGTGATTGGCACTAATGGTAGAGCACTGGAGAGTCCTACTGGATGAAAGCTTGCCAAGAAGGAAGTTTCTTGGTTTTTTTTTTTTTTTCCCCTGTCTGTAACTGCATGTAATTACACACAATAAAGCTTGGAGACGTTGTTGAATAAGAAGAATAAAACATTTTCATGTCAGAAAACCACTGATCGTTGACCTCAGGGAGAAAAATAAAACAATTTAGAATTCACAAAGAGTATAATTTTTCAATTTCTCAATTATGTCAAATAGCAATCCCAAGGAAAATGACTTCTTTGCCAGGCCCATGAATCAATTGTCCCAGTCTCTTATGCATCCAGGTTTCAAAGGACAGTTTCTGTCTTTTCTGCCAGAGTTCTCTAATTGGGTTTCAAATTAGTTTTTCATCTTCATAGTCTAAACTGTCACCTAGTTCAAATATAACTAGGTTTGTTTCTCAGACTTGTTTTTTCCCTTTCTGTTTCTTTTGCTTATAAAGCACGTGGCTGGTGCAATTCTAACTTAAAAGTCCCATTGTTTCTTTGTTTAAGGTATTTTTATTGGTGCATATTAATGACACAGACTGGTAGTTCTCATTTCATAGTCCTAGATCCATAAAACATAATTTGATCAATTTTGTTCCTTAATACCTGATCCCTCCTCTGACACCCTTGCTCTACCCTAAAGGCCTCTCCTCTGTTTTCATGGCATCCTGTTTTGAGGTTAGTTTTTGTTTTCCCTCTAGTTTCACATATGGGAGAAAACATGCAAAATTTTTTCAAGTCTGACTTGTTCTGCTCAAAATATCGTCTTCAGTTCCATTTTCCTGCAAATGACATAATTTCATTCATTTGTGGCTGAATAAAACTCCATTGTGTAGATATACCACATTTTCTTTATTTATTCATCCATTGACAGACACCTAGGCTGATTCTATAACTTGGCTCTTGTGAATTGTACTGTGGCAAAAAATGGGTATGCCTGTATCTCTAAGATATGCTAACCTTAATTCTTGGGGACAAATATCAAGGAGTGGTATAATTGTTAATATGGTAGGTAGTTCTATTTTTAGCTTTCTAAAGAAACTTCATACTGAGTTCCCTAGTGGTTGTAGAGATTATAATATCTTGAGGTGTGTCTTAATTTTTGACCTTAGTGTATCAGTAAAATGCCCAACCGTTCCCTTAGAAAGTGAAAAAGTAAATATAATTCCATTACTCTATTATTAGTTTTGCATAAATAAAAGTTGGTTTATATGTGACCCATATTGATGCCATCTGACCCCAGAAGCTTTCTGTATCCCTGTTTGCTTGAGTATCCTGACAATTTAATGGCCTCCATAGTTGCCTGAACAGAGCAAAAGAATCCATGGAGCTTTTCAAGCATGAACTTTGAAATATAAATTAAATTAGTTCTGGCTTCCTCATCTGAAACTTATCATTCTGCTCGGCTAAATTATTATGCTACTGCTAAATATTGAAAATGCTTTGAGTAAAACGGAACTTAACAAGCAGGTGGAGAGGCACAGAAGAGACCTCAGTACTTCTGCCCCCCATAAAAGATATAAATCAATGCACATCTATTATAATTTGCTTATTCCTAAATCTGGGAAGTACTTGATGCTCTTTAACAATATCAACATAGATTATAATAGCATAAATTAGGGCTAGGAAAAAAAGTTTGTTTTGTTATTCATGATCAGAGTCCAATCTGGACGGAAACCACAATAACTTAAAAGTTTCGCATAAAGAATTATTAAGGGACTGGGGTTGTGGCTCAGTGGTAGAGTGCTCACCTAGCATGCATGAGGCACTGGGTTCAATCCTCAGCACCACATAAAAAAAATAAATAAACAAAGGTTTAAAAGAAAAAAAGAATTATTAAGCTGTGATAGGATAGCTGAATAGGAAAATATAAAGAAAACTCTAAGGGATAACTTAAAGCTGAGAGAGAAGATTCAGCAAAAACAACCTCAGAGGCAGGTCTCTCCACGGCTAGGATTGAGAACTCTGAGAAAGTGGTTATCAGCCCACTGAATGCCAGGTTCTGAAGCCTGATCACGCTCTCAATAGCCAAACACAAGGAAACTGCTCTGGATGGCAGGCAAGCCAGAGCTCATGGCTGGGGGCACAAAAGAAGTGGGGATGCTGCTGTGGGTGCTGGAATATACAGTACTGTGGCAAGAGGGTCAGAGCAAGGTGCTGATCAAGCCCAGGCTAGCTGTGCAAAATCTCTGAGGGACTGTGCACTTTGCATACACAGCTGGGGCAAAGAACCACCAGATGTCTCCAAACACATGCAGCATGATGGACCACACAGAAAAGCAAAACGTAGCACCTAGAACCAGAAAAAGAAGCCCCTCCCAGAATATTCTTTTGTCTACCTCATCTGACAAAACAACACCATGACCAGTACAAAGAGAAACGCTTGGAGAGTCCAGTTTGGACTGGCGTAGTGGTGCATGCCTGTACTCCCAGTGACTCAGGAGGCTGACACAGGAGGATCACAAGTTCAAAGCCAGCCTCAGCAACTTAGCCAGGTCTTAAGTGACTTGGCAAGACCCTGTCTCTAAATATAAAAAGGGCTGGGGATGTGGTTCAGTGGTTAAGCACCCTGGGTTCAATCCCCAGTACCAAAAAAAAAGAGAGAGAGAGAGAGAGAGAGAGTCTATTCTGGTATCACAGTGCAGGTACTGAAGGGTGAATTTGGAACAGAAAATCAATAAATTAATAATTGGCACACTCAGTTACAAATAAAAACTTTAGATTCTTGACTAAATAAAATCCCCACTATGCAGAACATCACTGTATATTCTTGGTGAGTTAGAAAGTCAAGAAATTCTTTGTTCTTTATTTCAAAAGCACTTTTATAATATACCTTCAGTATACAAATTAAACATGATGTATCGATGTTGTGTTCCAGGGTTTACCCACTCATCACTCATTGTAACGCTATAGTTCTGAATATTTAAGAGATTCAGTTGGATATATACAAGGATATAACCAAAGTAGTTCTTTTAATGAGTTAATTTTTTACTGCAATACTTGTGCTACAGTTAAAATGAGTAAAACAGTCTTAGTTGAAGTTTTATGTTATTTAATAAGGATTTCAGTTTACAGAAGTTATTCTGTATAAACCTCAACCCCTATCATATACAAAAATCAGCCACTTTCATATTCAGCAAGGAGACTGACAATTTTCCTTTCACAATACACTAAATCATGAAAGGATCAAGCTTATCTGATCTGTAATAACAACTTGCATTTGTAATTTGTGTGGTACATGATCTCTCACA